TTGCAGAGTTTCACTTTTAGTGTCGCAAAAACTGCAACGTCCAGAGGCTGCAATAGGTGGGTGGCGTTGGGCGGAAGCAATACTAATAGTATCTCGAGACGCGTAGCTGTTTCAAGGACATCACCAGAGTAGTGAGAACTGCATCCATCAAGCACCAGCAACAGCGGCCTTTTGACAGTTCTGGGTACCGAGCTGTCAAAAAAATGTAGCCATCGTTCAAATAGATACGTGTTGATGAACCCTGATGGGGAAGTCGTAATTGCTGCGCTTGAAACACTACACCCATCAATAACATCCCATTCCACACTTTTTTCCAGGTAAAATATAGGCTGGTGGTACGACAAAGCCAGCAGCACTTCCACAAGCAACGATAGACAAATGAAAATTGACAGACGGATCCAAGCACCACACGTTCGTCGAACCTCGGACAGCGATCACCTTCTTGCTCTTCTTGCGTGTTTGAAACGCAGTTTCGTCCATATTAAATATTCTGGAGCTGTCAAGTCGTAATTCAACCACTAGTTTAGCCAACGTGTTAAATAGCGTACGCAAGTTGCCTGCAGAGACACAGTTACGTTTTTCAGTTAGCGCTTGAGCAACCCGTGGGGTCAATTCTAGATTGCGTCCCATGAAGCGCTGATACCACCCAGCCCCGACGCTCTGGCCTGTAATGAGCAGCGAAATCTCTTGGGCCTTTTTTAGGATGACAGTTCGGTCCACGGGATACCCGACAATCTGTCGCCCAACAACCCACTCGAACAAATGGCGCTCTGCCTCTGGAGGCAGGTGCGGTTTTGGTCCGCGGCGACGGGGTTCTAGTGATTGTTCCAACTTCGATTTAGTAACCCACTTGCAAATTGTCCTCTCAAGTATCTTGGTTTGCGCCGCGACCTCGGGAACCGCCGCACCGCTGAGTATTTTTGCCACAATGGCAGTCTTGGTTTCAGTAGAGTAAGTGTGGCGAGTCTTGGACATGGCTTGAGTCGGACAAATAAAAAGTGAAGCGATGGCGCTCAACAACCTCATTTGGTTGGAGGAGCTGAACAAAAATATGGCGCCAAGAGTTCATCCCTTTTGCATATTAAAATTTTAAAGGTATTCGTACTTAGCTTATTATAACCAATAGTTTCCAAGTTCAATGGAGTACTGTATATGATTGACAGTAAATTATGCGGCCCTAAACCGGTTCGCGGCCCTAAATTGATGTTTTCCCTTTATAAAAAACGTCGTAAATGTGAGTCTGCTTCTACTGTAAGCGAAGCAAGGGAATTGTGTCCTCCACACCAGATTTAATGTACCGGTATAGAACAACCGTACCAGTATGCGCTTGGCTGACCACACTCGTATTTGAAAGAAACAAATGGCCATCACTATAGAAATATCCGACTCTCCTCTTCCCTTTTCGAATTGAGCAGATGGTCATATCATAAGCTCTTATTGATGTATTTGTTCGTTTGACGTCCAAGGTTTGTGGAAATTCATCCAAATTCAATTGTACTGGTACGGGGGCTGTTGACCAATTCTGGCCACTTTACTGTAGATCAAGGATTTATGTCGTAAATCCACCACTAATAAATCCGGCAAATCTAAACTTGTTTGTCAAAACCGCTGCAAAGCACAATTAACGTAACATTTGTATTGTAATTATTATTTAATAACTGTAAACGAAATCAGTCTCACAACCAGAAAAGGACCCTGTTCAGCGGCTTCATCCATCATCCTTTGTTTCGACAGCAGTAGCAGGTGTAGCACAGTCGACAACACGATGGCCATGACCATTTTCCTGCGGCACCATTAGACGATATAATATACTTTAGACAACAAACGCACCCAGTTTTGGGTGTCTTCCCTTTCAGAAAGCACGCACCTAATCGCAAGGAATGTGCTATTACAGTAATAGCTACTGTGTCACAGCGCCAATGCATGTAGTTAATAGAGCAAGAGGAAGAGGAGAAGACATCCGAAATACTCACGCCTTTTGTAGTTGCGTTTATTGTTTTGGAAATGTGAGCAGCAAGTGACGATTCCAGAATATTTTCTATATAAATTTTTACCCATATCATTTGAATGCTAGCAATCATTCTAGGTAAATTTTAACCGGGTTACACGACCAACGAATAAAAGCCTTCCAGCAAGCGTTATAAACCTAATATTTGATTCGACAAGGAAAGAAAAGATATGAAACAATTACATTATGTATTTTGTCAGTCACTTATTTTAAGTCCCTTTTATTTATATTCAATAACTTTTAATATCGTTAAGTAATTCTTAGCTCACGTTAAGCTTCGCCTTAATTTCCAAATGACCTCCATGGGAAGTTCTGGGCACCCACAGAACAAGTGACCCACCTCCAGTACCCGGAAGACCGAATAACCCCGGACGCCTGCGGTTGAGATAGAGCGTCTTTCCACCTAGCGCTTGGACAGTCGAATTCCATCGACTAGTTCCTCCTGCTTTGACGTCGACTTCATCAACCCGGTCTCCTCCAGACATAATGTTCACCGTCACGTCCTTGGTGTCTGTACTCGTGAAGTTAATAATAACTTCACCGTCTCCCTTCTTAATCCAGGAGATAGTACTGCCTTTAAAAGCGTCTTGGAGTGTATTCAAGCCTAGCGTAGCAGCTTCTGTGCCATCGTCGATCTCACCCATAAACTGAGTAGGCCCACAAATTGTCTGGATGTACTCCGAAAATAAAAGCGTAATACGAGTAGGATCTAGCAGTGTTGCCGCGGCACCAGCGAAGGCTAGATCGACTACCCGATACACTTTTTTCTTCTCGTCGTAGGATGTGCCGTTATCGCTCTTCCCCGACTTGATAAGGTCGTTCATGATAACTCCAAAGGTCTTGCGTAATACCTCACGGGTGTTATACGCCGTCGTGAGACTCGACTCGGATATCATCTGGTGCATGCAGTTGTTCGTTACTACAGGTATGTCGTGGAGTACGAGGTCGGATTCACTGATCTTTAACCGAACTTCATCATCTGTGATGGCAGGGTTCTCTTGTCGGTACTCGTTAACGGTCCACCATACCCGATCCATGAGAGATTTTAGATCTCCAGCACAGCTCGAGTTCTGTTTCATGGCTGTCTCAAGTGATTTTATCTCCCCCTCTGTGATTTCTTCGACAGCTTCAGTGAAGTTTGCTCCTTGGAGGAATGCGCGGAATCTCTGCCAGCTCGAAATGATCTCACCGTCATATGCTAGAGCTTGCATTAGCATCCACTGGGCCGTGGACAACACGAATTGGGAGTGACGGAGGTTCCCGGACACTGGTTTTTTCGAGCAAACGAGGATAGCGATAGGTAAATCTGTGACTACGGTGCTCGTCTGAAACAGCAAAACCAGCAACTTGCGGTCCGTCGCTTGTGGATCCTCCGCCTTCATGGTGCGGATGTATCGGAGGATCCCTCGCATTACCATCAGCGTCGCGTTGGTGCACCTGGCAGCCCACCAAACCTTCTTACTTAGCATCTCCAGTGCGCCAAACACACCAAACGAAGCACTTCTGACGATGGCGATGGCAACAGCTGAGACTTTACTAGCCACCTCAATCCCACACTCATCATTTTGACGAATACATTCCATGCCACATTCCACAGGATAGTCCATAGGACATTCCGTCCAGCACGTATTTGTGAGCTCATTGCGGTCATAATTACTTGGACAAACGTCCATGACGTGGGCCTCTCTGTAGCACGCGGTATCTTGCGACATACTCCATGGACCCACCCAGTTGCGGTAAGTCGAGGTGACGGTACTCTTCGCAGTAGCAGATGGAGCAAAATTCAGAGAATCATCTCGGCTCGAGTCAAAAGAGGCGATTCGTCTTGGAAACACAGCCCCCGAGTCGAGTACCGGCGTTTTAAATGTTGAAATACTGGTGGTGGTTGTAAGACTGGAGATCGCAGCTATCAGGACGAAAGGTATCAATGTCGGAGTCATTGACTTGTTAGCGGAAGTAATTAATCAATACTGTGGATTGAATTCTACCCCCCCCCCCTGCCGCCCCTCTCACTACACTTAGCCTATCGACTGCGAATCGCGACATAATGGAGATGGGCAGTTGTTAAACACCTTCCCGCGGGTTTCCTCAATGATTATGCTTGGGAAGAACTCAAGGAACTTCAAGCAGGGAACCTTCCGCAATATTTTTTGCATATGCTTTTATAACAGTGTGTGGGATTAAGCTTGCTTTCATGTAGTGCATCATGCACCTGTTTAAATTAGCGCACCTTACTTTTCGGTGTGTGTGATAAAGAGCCATATATATAGTTGTGAATGGGCCAGCGAGTTTGAGACGAGTCGCACCAAGCCAGTTCTCAGTGTACGAACTCCAAACGAAGGTTAGCATAGCACTGTACCGCACCGTATTATGTTACGCACCTTGTGTGGCCTTCCTGTCTACCACACGGTTGCACCGTGAGCTGTACCCAATCATATTCTTACGTGATAAGCTATCGTGCGGGACAAATATTTTCTTTTAGAGCTCTAGAAGTACAGTAATACGTAGGTATATCGGTATGTAGTCGGTTGGTGGATGTAGAGCAACGTGCAATCGTTTTTTTTGAGACAGGTACATGTAGTCGATTTGACGACAGATGCTCTGCCGCATCATCATGTGTGCGCCTTCTAAATTGTGAGCGCATTATTGGCTTTTTCTACCGCATGTTTTTGTGTTATTATTAGCATGTATGTTTTAGTAATTCAAATACGAAGTTTGAGCAGAAAAGTACACGTATATCAGCCCTTTTTACTTAATCTTGTAAGCGCAGTTTAGGCTCACGGAAACTTGCTAGCCAAAAAGGGTTAAACATCAAGGGCAAAGCGAATACTTCGCGCGCAGGGGCGGACCGAGTGTCAAATGGAGGACCCCCCCCCGCTTTTTGTGACGCCCTCCTTTATATTTTAGACCAGGGACCGCCCTGGCAGTGAGAGTTGCTTCCTTAGTGGCTGGTAGCTAAGTCAGCGACTTAATCTATTCTGCTCATGCTATCGCACTACTTTTACGTGTCTGAGGGGCACATTCAAGAGTTTCATTAGAAATGTTTGTATGTTGCCGACTCGCCACCGCAAGTAGTATGTATACTGGGCTGAACTCGGTCACCATAATTTACTAGTTTTTTATGTTCCCAGGGTTCAAGTTGAGTATTTGAGTTTAATCGGCTCGAAAAATACAGCGCGGTCGACGACTGACGATGCATTATCTCTACGCAATAGAATTCAATCGCCTTCGGGACGAATAGCACTACAGATGAACCCTTCCGCAGTCGTAGCGCATGGAACAAAAGATTTTCTACCCAGCTAAAGGGCGCATGCCAAGAACGTTTGCCCAATTCAGGCACTGCCATCAAGATGTCAGTCAAACCTATGAACAAGCCAACCCGCATCACGCTCACCGATGCTATCGTAGCGTTGCAGATTTGCCGGCATCATGCCATCCACCCTTATTTATCTTTCCGTGTCGGGTTGCCGATTGGGCTCATAATATCTTGTTGTTGCCGCAGCGGCCATCATTCTAGCTAAGGAAGCGTTAAGGCACTGGAGGCAAGACCGTCAAGTCATGGAATAAGATGCGGTTTTACAGGCTCAACGTTCGGCGTGGGTTCGGTAGCATTAAGACCCATGGTGAGGGTGGATCCGCCATGGACGCCTTAACCATCGACCTGCAGCGTAAGCTAAAAAAAAGAGCTGCGAAATATTTTAACGAGATCGGTTCGTTGGTCTCTAAACGAAATCTCGCCAGAAAGCGCATGTTCGGCAAAATGAAGGACAACACACGGATGACAGTTGCGCTCACGACGGTTGCCATTTTTATATTGGCAAAAAAGCACTCTCGCAATTTTATAAGGGATACTGCAGCGCAGGTGTGCTGCACAATAGTGACTTTCACATAGTAAAGTACCTTAGAGCAGTAATTCTTGGTATTAATAGTTTTGGAGCACGATGCCCAGGTTTTTGGTGCATAGCTGTGCGCATTAAACCTGGTACACAACCTGAAGCAGGATTATGTAATGAGAACGTACTGTTTACACCAAAAATATACACAAAATACCAAAATTATACTATCAGCACCGCTAAAACACAGTTTCAGCGGGTAATGTCACTATCCGTCGATAGCAGGAGTTCGGCTGCCATTGCAGACAATGTCTAGGATTTATTCATGAAATCACACTAATTCGTACCGGTATCGGGAAGTGAGGGCTTTGATCTAATTATCCACGCCGAGCAGAAGCAAATAGTCGACGTGAAACTAGTAGTGTGTAGCCAGCTCCATCGCGGCGAGTGTTGACTCAACACTGTTGAGCCTCAGCCTGAGGAATTCTCTGGCTTGAGTGCTCCTATTGGGGTTGCTGTGGTATGGCTGGGTAGACCCTGAATTCAGTTTTGGTACACTGTGCCACGCGATTAGTCGTTCAAATTTTTCATAATGACGTTTGTTTGTCGTATTTACACTCAGGGAGGCGTTTTAACGCGTTTTTTAAGTTTATACAGTCCTTCTCAGCACTGATTCAATGCCTCGCACTGAGACGATGCCCCCTTTTACCTTTGTGGAAGAATTCTATCTTCTTCCTGGAACATTCCGGCCTCTTGAATATTTCTCGTAGACTCGGTTTCTTCTCGACAGTAGGCCGACTTCATCCTCGGTAGAGCTGTGCTAACCGAGCGACTTGGACTTGCTCGTGGAAAGCGACGTACCGTCAAGCCGGACCTGCTTCAATAGAACCTTGGGGGGACCGATTCCGGTTCCTATGGTACGGTGAGCTTAATTCCATCAGCTTTACTCACAAACCGTCTGATTCCTGTCAGGACGCGTCCCTAATCTACTTAGTGATCCACCCTTGAATCCCCTTTCTTTCTAGTTCACCAAAAGGATTCACTACCCGTTTCAGTTTTGCCACTAGGTCCTATTCCCTCCTCGGGACCGTATCTCCATTCGAATTTACTTCGATGGGGGATTTCCGAGTGTGGCACAGCTACTAACTAGAGCTGTTTTGTTTAAGACATACTAGTGGATAGACGGTTTCCCGCACTAGACTGTGCCACACAACGGGCAGTAGATCGGGATAAATGGTCCCACATTTTCCTTTTCCTCACAAGCGATCGGAGGACGTACTGTTTGCACCAATAATATAAACAAAAACACCAAAACTATCAGCACCGCTAAAACACGGCTAGCACAGTAATATCACTAGCATCACCAACGTTTAAAGACTGACCACCAACAACACCTAAATCTTGAAGGTGTGCGTAAGGATTGGAAGGGATATACGACACTGCACGGTTATGGTCTGCGTGAATCGGCGAGACTCTGCTGTTTACACAATCTCCACAACTCGCAAGATCGCACAACTTGTTAATAAAATCCACCATTTTATTACCAGAACACCGCACACTACCGTTGCCTAGAAGAGCGTGGACAAGGGATTCAGCAATCGCCACCTCCGGGCGTGTCGATGCTCGCCCTGCATTCTCGGACGTCTTCTTGAGGCCTTATAGAGCCCGCGCGAGTAGCTGATGCTTGGACGGTCTTGTTGTGAGAATATGATTTGGGATAGAGCATAATACAGTCGTCTACACAACAAATTTACATTATTATGTCTCATACGGTAGGGCTATGTGTGTGGCTGAAAAGCAACGGGAGTCGATGGGAAGAATATCAGTCATGTTTTGCACCGGTGCTCCTGCGGATTATGAGGTGCTGACCAAAACAAATGCTGGTGTTTCTCGTATTTCCTCGGTTGTAATGTATTTCGCAACGGAAACAAGTTGTACTTTACGCATCTAGGCTTTTCTGTGTTTTGTTTGGAGCTCTGCGTACTCACGAGATGGTGGAATATGAGGATTTGCACAACTCATTTTGTTGAAGTACGGAGGTTGCTGTAACCATGACGATTGGATGGCAGGTTTACGATTCTTGTGCGGTGCACATACACTGTCTCGGACAGGTCGGATACTCCTCAGCTTTGTAAGTAAACATAATAGTCCGCAGCATCCCAGGTTTTTAAATAGGTTTTACACCAGACGTTTTAGAGCTTAGAGCGATATCGACACGGGATCCCAAATATGTGAGAAGATGCCTACCAGGTTTGACAACAGGTTACAAAACATGTTTTTGTGCTTAAGCTTTTTTCCGATGGAAACACGGAACAGCTCGGAATTAAAGATTACTTCAATATCTGACATGGAACGAGTGCATTAATTGACTTAGTAGTGCAGACAACATCCGAACTCGAAAGCTATTCAGCTGAGGGTCCTTCCACACACTGCTGATCTTATCGTTAAGAAGCCCCCACACAATGTCGAGAGCGTAAATAACATAGCTATCGCCGTCGTCCTTGGTAGGAGATGCCACAACAACGGATTTGTGCGAGGCGAACTTGGTCTCTTTGCAAAGGCGTGTGTTGATTTTGTTCAGAAACGCAATGTAGTCTTGATCTCCCAAAGGGTCGTAAACTAAAATGCTCTTGGTCGCAGTGTTGATGACAATCGACGCCCAGTGAATGCGATCAAAATGGATAAAAAAAACGAGTTTCCTATCACACGTCTTCTGCTTGTGCACAACCTTTTCGGGCAGCTCCGCCATTCTCACCTTCCTGTTCAGTCTTAGCTCCTGTGTCAGCACACTATAGGCTTTGGCCCGAAATGCTGCAATCGCTTCAAAATTCTGCCCGCTG